GCACTGCTGTGGTCACAGGCATGAGCATGGTTGGGCACTGCTGTGGTCACAGGCATGAGCATGGTTGGGCACTGCCGTGGTCACAGGCGTGAGCATGGTGGTGCACTGCTGTGTTCTTGCCAAGGAGGATTAGAAGTTCATAGATAATGGTATTTCTTCTTTACTGTGGGTCTCAATTAACTTCTTTCTTGTGGTAGATGATAGATCTCTGACAGCAAGGCTTAGCATTTTTATCTCCTATTACTTAATTCTATAAAGTTATATCTGATGGCTAATTTAGCTACATCCCAAATTGTGAGAGCTTATTTTAGTTTCTTGTTTTCTTTGAAACGTATCTTTTGACCTATGGGTTATTTAGAAGTATGTTGCTTAATTAAATATTTGGATATCTTTCCCACATTTTTTGTTACTGATTGAAGGTTTAATTCCGGAGTGATCAATAATATATTTTGCATTATTTCATATCTTTTAGTTATTGTAATTTGTTTTAATGCCAGCATAACATCTATTTTGATAACCACTCATGTGTAGTTTGAAAAGAACGTGTGCTTTGGCTCTGTGGGGTGAAGTGTCCCTAGGCATTAACAGCTTGGTCTCACTACTAGTAAGACACAGGACTGCTTTGTCCTTGTGGACCACTGTTGCTACTGATTACTGAGAGCAATGTTTTCACCTCAAACCCTAACACTGGTTTTGGCTATTTCCTTGTTAATGTTTGATTAGCACTTACCGTGTATTCTGAACCACTGTGGGTAAGTAGAACACCAGAATACATGGTTAATGCTGGTTGTGTGTTCTATTTTTTTGTTTTGTTTTGTTTTTCAAGACAGGGTTTCTCTGTGTAGCTCTGGCTGTCCTGGAACTCACTCTGTAGACCAGGCTGGCCTCGAACTCAGAAATCCGCCTGCCTCTGCCTCCCAAGTGCTGGGATTAAAGGCGTGTGCCACCACCGCCCGGCAGTTGTGTGTTCTATAAATCAACATTTTATTAATATGCAATATTCTTCTTTATCCATAGCAGAAGTCCTTGCTCTGAAGTCTATATTGATACTAATATAACCAGCCTCACTTTCTTTTAATTAATAATTATATGGCATATGCCTTCTTATTTTCAGTATATTTATTTGATACTTAAGATTGGTTTCTTGTAGACAGCAAACAATTGAGTCTTCTTTTGTAATCCCATCTGACTCTAATTTTTAATTAGGATAATTAGTCTACTTAAACTTAATATAATTACTGATGTGACTAATTATTTTTGCTCCCAAATATTTGCATACCTAGTTAGAAAAGTCTTATCTAATAATTTGTATAATTTAATTTTCCTTCTCCACCTTCAAAACAATGCTTTAATGTAATTAATATTGGCATTTACTAAGATAGAAGTTAAAATATGAGAAACATATCTGAATTTGGAAACAGGAGAGTTGGAGTAGAGATGTCTGAAGCTACGAGCAGACATATTTTTAGCCTAGTTCTACCTTGCTCTAACAGCATTTAAAATGATCATCCATTGTTAGTGAGCCGTATAATGAACCCAAGAGGTAGGCTAGCAGCACGACTCAGGTGAAAACCAAGTTCATCCAAGGCCTGTTTCAAGGACATAGAGCTGGTGGGTTAGCCAGGTTTCAATATAGATTTGCTGACCTAAAGCAAAAGAAACAAAACTTAGCAGCTGGAAACAGACTGTAAAGCCAGGGAGCTCAGAGGCAGGGAATACCTCAAGGTTCAAAGTCATCTCAGTCTCCAGCGGTAAACAGGATTGGAAAAAAAAAAAAAAAAAGGAACTAAACTTCCTTTATACACACGTTTCTAGAAGGAAACTAGCCTATAGAGAGTATACATATTTATACCATCCGAAATACATGCAAAATTCTATATATTCAAGGCAAATTGCATGCTTCTTATATTGGTTGATAAAAATTGACAAAACTGCTTGACTAAACTGGCCATGATATCCAAACAGATGATACAGGGCCTGAAGGACACTCTGTGGAAGCACAGCATACTATAAATGTTCCTGTGCCTCAAAAACTGCAGCCCAAGGTACTTCACGCTTCACACCAATCTCGCCAAAAGCTTTCTTTAAAAAAATAATCATTTATTTTTATTTTCTGTGTATAAGGGTTTTGCCTAAATGAACGTATGTGCACCATGGGCACGGCTGGTGCCGTGGAGGCCAGAAGAGGGCCTCAGAGTCCCTGGAACTGAGTTACAGACAGAGCCATGCTGCGGTGTTTAGGAACTAAGGCCAGGTCCAGCAGCAAGTGCTTTAACTGCTGAGCTACCTCTCCAGCTAAATAAATGCTTTCTTGCTCTTACAAGACACAAACTCTAATCCACTGGCTTACCATGATGGTGTAGTTGACATTGATGGCCTCATCTTCACAGGGGACACTTTTCTGAATGGATTTACCGTCACTCTTCCCTTTCCTTATAACGTCGTAGATGGGATTCCGAGGTTGCTGGCTTTGCAGAACTTTTTTCAGTTGCTTCTCCAGATGTTGTGGTGCATCATTCACTACTTCAAAAACTCCGTAGTCCACATTAAATCTAATTGCCTCAGAAAATGTCTGTAATATAAAGTACAAACATTTTAAAAATTTAAAATAAATTTTAATGAAATTTAATAGAATTTAAATTCGTTGGCTTGAGGAAGACCTGATGTCATAGTTCATCTTCTCTCTCTCTCTCTCTCTCTCTTTTTTTTTTTTTTTTTTTTGAGACAGGGTTTCTGTATAGCCCTGGCTGTCCTGGAACTCACTCTGTAGACCAGGGATTAAAGGCGTGAGCCACCACTGCCTGGGTATAGTTTATCTTCTCAATCACTGTCTCTCTTTGCTTCTAGAATCTTGGAAATCCCTTGGCTAGAGGACAGGAGACCCACCGACGTCTTCCTTACCGAGGACTTTATGCCATGGGGGATTGATTATGCCAAGGTGAATTATGGCAGAAATTGCATTTGTATAATTGTATTCCTATCATTCTTTGAAACTAAGAAAAAATACACAGCTGGCTTCTATGAAGCAGCAGCGGTGCCCTCACAGGAGGAGATAGGTTCCTGGGTAAGAATGAAGAAAGGAAGAAGAAATAATCCTATTGACTTTTAGTCCCAGGAGTCACGAAAGCTAACAGTCTCTTTCCCGAAAGGGGACAATTAGCGACAATATGTTCTTCATTTGAGACTGTCAGCACTGTTCTTTACACAGTGACAGAGAAGTGGTTGACACCAACACTCTGAGACTCTCTCAGTAAGTACTGAAGTTTTCCGAGTTTTACTTAAAGACAGCCAATCAATACACAGCTATCAGAGGCTGTGTTTGAATGCTAGCTCTCTGACTTTAGATAAAACGCTAAAGATTTTTAGGTCTCTTATTTCCACAAGAGTTAACTGTGCGTTGACTTTTGTGCTCTAGTTTTGTCCTTTAAGCCTAGGATCAGGTCCCCTTTTCAGACTACTCATTTATTTAAGGATGGCGTTATTGAGCTGACCACTCATAATGTGCAGATGCATAGCCAAGTAGTGATGGCATTAAAGTCATTCCTGCCTGTCACTAGGTGCCCCAGGCAGTGTGTTGCTATATATGTTATAATACAATAAACTGCAGGCATCTTTGTAAAATTTAAACTAAAACACACACACAACTTTTGACATGTCACATGGTGTCACATCTCAAGAATCCAGAATGTTGCTCATTCTAAGGTACTTAATACATAGACAACAGACTTGAGATAAGTACCAGTCTACAGTATAAAGCACCTTAGAATGTGACTCCACCATGACAGGTCTAATCAGTAAGTACCATCTGGAATTGCCTGTAAGGTTTCTTTAATAACCACACTTCACTGGTGACCTGCTACTACGTCTGTCTTCTGAATATAGAGGCAAATAGACAATTTGTACCTAAATGTCAAAAATACAATCCTTGATACAGTATCATTGGACCAAAGAGACTAAACAAGTCTGTAATATCAGGGACAAGACATACCTGGCTAAGGAAAGGAAACGAACTAAACACATCTGAGATGGATATTACATTAACAGGTGGGAAAAGGAAAGATTAAAACAAGGGCCATCTGGAAAGGATGAGCGTCTGTCTGCACAACTGACGGCCAGACTGTCCTCTCTACCTGTTGTTTCTCTTTCTTTTTTCTGTCTTATATCTTGAGACATAGTAGCCAGATGAACACAAAGACAGGATAATCCAAAGTAAACCATGCCAATCAGTTATCTCTATGAACAAAGAAGATTTTCCTACTAATCAAAAACAAAAAACAAAAAAACGTTCTAACAATGGTGACACTTTAATTGGCAGAAATAACAGAGGAACTGCTGTTTGCTAGGATCTACCAGGTCTGTGATGGATACCTTACTGCTATCAGGGCTACTTCTAATTCCTGTGGTACTTGTTTACCAAACACTAATTCAGAGGGTGGTTAGGGGACAGTCACTCCATGGACTCAGAGCTATGAAATGATGGACTGAGTTACAGAAACAATCCTGACGGTTAAGATAGCACAGTTTCCTTCCTCATTATATTGCCTCACACAGGAGGAAGCTAGCATGTGCAACTGGTTCTATGCAGGCACTGTGCTGAGTACCGCCCTGTGAGCTTAGTGGAGCTTCAAGGTCACCATTTTGATTTTAATGCCTAACCTCTTATTTTCTCTAACTCACTAACAAAGGCTCAGATTTATGAAAGAACACTACAGAGTTAAAACTGTCCTGTAGTAACTGTGGGTAGACTGGAATAGCATGAGGGACAAAGGAGAAAGCTTGAGGAGAAAAGGTGGAAGGACCAGACAACGGAGGGCTTTGCGTGTCAGATCAAAGGGTTTATGTTAGTGTTCTGGACAGCCAGAAACATGGCAGCATCCTAACTAGGGGATCAGTATAGATCACTCCAGTTCCTCAGTCAGGGCTCATGAGCTGGAGAGTCTGACTGATCCCATGCATGAAAAAGCCATCACCATCCTCTGGGGAGACTAGGTGTCACTGCATAGACACTGCCATCAAAACCAGGTTTGGTGTGGTAATCACTGGCTCTCTGTGTGAAGCAAACCTGAAGCTAAGAAGAGTTAAGGATCTCTTTGTGATATAACAGCAAGTGCCCCAGTGTACTTGCTATGAAGTCTGGAGTGCTGGTTAAAACCCTTTAAGCCCAGGGAAGTTCAGTCAGGGCTCATGGTGGGTGCTGTAAACCAGTTCACTCAGAAGTCATCCTAACCTCCTGGAGTGCACAGCTGGGAAAACTAACCTTTTTTTTTTTCCTTCAGATCCCTCCTCTGTAGTTTGAAGTATGGCATAGGTCATGCTGCTTATATGCACTAAGCTGGACTCTGAACAAAGTAGGGAGCTAAAACAGGTGTAGTTGGTATAGGAGGAAACTCCGAGAATGTATGCACATTAAAACGGGGAGAGTTGCTGATCAAAAAGTAGTGTAGGGCAGGGAGAGGCGATGCACGTCCGTCAAAACAGAATAAGGAAGACTGAGGCAAGAAGGCCCAGAGTTCAAGGCCAGCCTGGTCTGTGTAAGAGGCAGGTTAGCTAGGGCTGCATAGTGAGACCCCATTTCAAACAAACCAATTTGTGAAAATACAGAATATGTTAAACTACTCATAAGCTGGACATGGCAACCTGCGCATGCAGCTTCAGCTACTTAGAGGGCTGAGGCAGGGAAAATGCCTAAGCCCGAGGTCAGTAGGAAACCACACCAGCCTGCATAGCCTAGAGACCCTGTGTCAGCAAGCCAGGTCATGCCAGCCTGAAGAACATAGGAAACCTTGCCTTAAGACTGTTTTTAAAATGTTTAAGAATATTTAAAGCCAAGAATGGTAGTGCATGCCTTTAGTCCTAGCTAGTGGGAATCTGAGGCAGGAGTCCAAGGTCATCCTTGGCTACACACTGAGTTCAAGTCCACCCTGGGATACAACAAGATCCAATCTAAAAAAAAAAAAATACAAAACAAGATTATTTAAGGTTTAGAAATCTTTGCCAAGGGTAATGTTTTTCTGCTTTAAAAGCTATGTGTCAGATTAGATCTCAGAAAGTCCTTAATAGCACTATGATTCCAAAATTATACAATGTCAAATAACAAATTCAAATATTTCCCCCAATAATTTATTTCCACAATATCAAAAATTGTAAACGTTTAAGTGTCACTTATGCTCCTAAACTTAGAGATGCAAAGATGGATAAAGCACCGCTTCCTCCTTTAAAGGAACAAGGAAATAAACATCCACTTTTTCCTATGATAAAGTCAACAAAACATTAACTTACATTAAAATCCATGTAAATGCAAATGCCAAGGTCCACAAAGACAGGAACAATGCTAGGACATTTTGTCTGGTCTGGTTAGCTAAAAACAGCTAAAAACTACACAGAAAGAACAGGCAGAATAATTCAGTGGAAAGCCACTGGGGAAACAACTTTGCCTTCTTGGGTTTTAACTAGATAGCATGGAGGTGCCGTCTACATTCAATACTGGGGAAATGACTTTGCCTTCTTGGGTTTTAACTAGATAACATGGAGGTGCTGTCTACATTTAATACTCCATTTGCTCGTGAGTATCTCTGCAGGAGACAAAGACGGTAGCTGTCTTAGGCAGGGTATCCTTACTGTGATGAAACACCATGACCAAAACAACTTGGAGAGAAAAGGGCTTATTTGCCTTATTCTTCCATATCACTGTTTATCACTGAAGGAAGTCAGGACAGGAACTCAAACAGGGCAAGAACCTGGAGGCAGGAGCAGATGCAGAGGCCATGGAGGGATGCTGCTTACTGGCTTGCTCATTGTGGTTTGCTCAACCTGTTTTCTTGTAGAACGCAAGACCGCCAGCCCAGGGATGATGACACCACCCAAAATGGTCTGGGCCCTCCCTTATCAATAGTGATTTTTAAAAAAATGCCCTACAGTTGGATTTTATCGAGGCATTTTGAGGTTCCCTCCTTTCAGATAACTCTAGCTTATGTCACGTTGACATAAAACTTGACAGCCTGTGTATCTTATCCTCTAGGGAGAGTGTCTGATTCCGTTGTTCTTCTCCTAGGGCATTCACTTCTCCAGTACTGAATCTTTGTTCGGTGACCCAGTAGGGTGGATGGTGTATTACTATACCAAGGGAGCAGAGCTTGCACAGCCTGCCGGGAGCATGGCACAGAGCAGCCGCAGTCTAATAGAAAAGACTCATAAGCACACACAGACAAGAAAGAAAGGCTGTCTACCAGAGGCATGAACTCCGAAGCTGAGAGCGAAGTCAAATCACATCCAATTAAAATTAACCCTGTAGAGTCCTCGAAAGCACTGTAAGGGCAACATCATCATCTTCCACGCCGTTCAAGTTGAACACAGTCAGTCCTCTGTCAGCACGGAGATGAGTTGTTGACTACAGTTACTGTCAGGCGATGTTGTAGGCCTGTCTGATGCCCATGCTGCACACAATATCCATGTTTAATGATAGAACTGTCCTTACATAATGAGTATCACATTATTAAGAGGCAAGAAAGGAAGCTGGTTAGATGAGTCAGCGGTTAAGAGCCCTGGCTGCTCTTCCAGAGGATGAGGGTTCAA